CTGCAAATCCAATGACATCCCAGTGCTGAAACTGCAGACTTCCACTTTCTCCCAGCATGCCTGCTGGTAAAGACACTTATATTTGCCCCACTCTGTCAAGTTGATCCCATCTGTCCCTAGCAGTGTCCATTTCTTGAAAAGGGTCCTGTGGTCACAGCGTCCAAAGTGCTGCCATGACACCAGGTGCACAGACACATGTGAATATGCAAGACGCACCCACCCCTGCCCAGGTTTTTCCCCTTGAATGGCAGGCTGGCGAACATTGCTTGGGCTCCATCCCTTCACATGGGATCACTGAGCCCCATAGTCATCCTTAATCTGCTGAAGTATTACTAGTGCCCACATGAAAGAGTAGTAAAATCTGATGATCGGCCAGGCCTTGGCAACCTCTGTGATGTCCTGGATCCAGTCCCTGGGGAAGCAGAAAACCTTGGAACTCATCAGGTCTGGTCAGCGGATGGATGTTTCCATTCCCTGCACCAGGGAGTCTTCAATCCGTTACCCATTGCTTCCTCTTAGCAGCACTCATTCTAATGAGTAGTTGATCAGGCACAGCTGGTCCAAACAGCTCTCTTGCCAAAACTCACTCCTCCTCTCCTGTTTCCAAGGACTATATGTTTTATTAAAGCTGTATTATTGTTAGCCTCACATATTTGTGTTACTGAGGATGACACTAAGTATGGTTATAACTTTCCATTAACTTACCTGAAAGAAACTGTTGGAGACTGGACAGGAAACACTATAGTGATGCCTGAGATTTAGGCTTCTCAAAGTCAAAAACACGGACGTAAGCAGCAGAAACACAGCTGCTTATTAACATTGCAAAAAAGCAACAAATGTTCCTTAAATTGTAAAAAAAAAAAAATCTCTTACATTCATATACACATTAAAACCAAAATAGACATACAGAACGCACTGTAGAACCAGGGGAGCTGATTGCTTGACCATGTCACGATGCACACTGTTAATGTTGAGTGTGTGCACAGACCTTTAATGCCAGACTTCACAGATCTCACTGCGGTCAGGAACAAAGCCAAAGCCATAAATGTAACACCCGATTTTCAGGGGAGATGGGAATGTGGAAAAGAGTTTGGGAAATTCTCATATGAGGATGCCTTTGAATCTCTCCAGAGAACCAGAGAACATTTTCTACAGCCTCCGGGCACTGGGATGTGGCACAAGGGCATTCCTTCATCTCCAGGTCAATTCAGCACGGCCAAGGCTGCCAAGCCCATCCCTTTCCTTCAGATATATATGGGAGGAAACTCCCCCTTCTGTCACTGGACTATAC